CACAATCACGAGGTAAAACCCTAAAATTGCTAATGTACTAGTAGACAGTCAAAACCCTAAAATCACCAAGGTACGCCTGCTATATATACGAGACATCTACACTATCGATCACTAACTTTAGCATCGGAGTTTCTTTTACAGGTACCACTCCTACCTTAGAACAGACAACATGCAAACTAGTGGAGGCTCACCAATCTCATCGGAGAGATCGTCACCGATCTAATCTCAAGTGAGAACATATGTATTATAATCCTTTGATATTGTGTGCAGAATATTTCAATTTTCGGTTCATGCATGGAAATTTAGCACCTAGTGCATATAACTAGTTGTTTTGCAATGTATATGTCGTTATGCTGCTTTCAGATGATGTAATATAAAGTTCAGGTTGCCTTTTGGAAGAGTTCTCACCATAACTTGCATAACTAAGGTGATTCATTGAGTAGTTCCCTCTTCATGATCTTTGATATTCTATTTCAACAAAACAAGTGTCATTTAAAAATTAATATCCACAACAGTTAGAGTTGACTTTTTCGGCATTAACCAAATATAAAGAAATTAAAACTCAGAACCGCAGAGGTTGACACTTTATTAAAAAGTTAAACTATAAATGAAAAATAATAACCATAGATGCGACTAAATCAACACTAAACGGATAAAATGTAAAAAAATATATTAAAAGTAACATTGGTACATCGATAATAAATGTATTTAAATTTTAAAATATATTGATTTAACGTGGCTTGAACTAACATTAAATTGAATTAAATTAAATTAAATTAAAAAATTATATTTGAAATACTTAAGTAATTGTTTTAGCATCAGAAAATCTGTTTCTAACTAGTGTTGACTGTGAGAAACCGACGCAATATAATTAGTGCCAAATATTTTAGAATTACTTAATTTTTTGATGCATAGTTGAGACTACTTTTAATGCAGACTTTACAGTTGGTTTTTGACTAACTCTAGAAGCTAACTTTCTTGTAATAGTATATCTATGGTATAATATTTATCCACTTAATAATAATAACAATATAAAAAAAAACACATAAATCATACTCTATGGTAACTTATATTTTGTTCCTTATTATAATTATTTATGAAATTACCCCCCAAATTTTCAAGAAATTTGATAACAATACCCTGCCATGGTAACTAAAATTCTTAAATTATATGTGAATTAAATTCTAAGTAAGTAAATTTGTATCCTCTCTCACATGTAAATGTTTTTTCAAAAGGGTTTTGTCAAAAAATGAAATAACATGCTCAAGAAAAACATTAATATCTTGACCTTACTTAAAATGCTCTAGTGTTCTATATTTCTTTTATCCTTTTCTGTTTCACTTATTTTTTATTAATCTTTTGACTTTATTTTATTTTATTTTATTATTATTATTATTTGCATATGGGTATTCGCATATTGCAGGACATTTGGATCGTGGGACTTAATTTTGTAATATTAATATCTTTTAGATAACGGCCAACATGTATAATTTTAATAAAATTACCACTTAATTATTTAGATTTTGAATTTAATAAAGCAGTTTTATGATCCTTTCTATATGGTATATAAGTAGGGATATATTTTAAAAGATTACATTTTACACCTCAAGAAAATAATTTATATTTTTATTAATGGGTCGAGATAATTTATGTTTTTATATTTATTTAAAGGTATTTAAAACGTTTGTTGAATTAATTGATATTATGTTTAGTTTTTAAATCTTAAAGTCATGGGTTTAAAACTTTAATTAATTTTTAATATTATTTTTATTATTTTAAAATTTAAAATAAAATAATCTAAAAATTGTGTACACAAAAATAAGATATCCCTTTATAATAGATATAGATTTTGTTTTGATTAAATTTTTTTAATTAAAATTATTTTTTTAAAGAGAATAGAAAATTAAAGTGAAACATAAAAATATATTATTATTAGCTTAACTTTTTCAAGTTTATAAATTCTATTGATAAAAGATAATAATTTAATATTTTTAAAGTTAAAATTTTAACATTTACTTTGTGTACAGTATATGTACAATACATCTTCACTTAATAAAGCAACTTTATGATCCTTTCTATGTGCTATATGAGTAGGGATATATTTGAAAAGATTAGATTTTACACCTCCAGAAAATAATTTATATTTTTATTGATGGCCGGTCGAGAGACTTTATATTTTTATATTTATTTAAAAATATTTAAAAATTATTAATATTTATTGAATTAATTAATATTATTATTAGTTTTTGAATTTTAAGATCTTGAGTTTAAATTTTGAGTTTAATTAATTTTTAATATTATATTTTTATTATTTTAAAAATTAAAAATAAAATAATTCAAAAATTATGTACACAATAATAGAATATCCTTTTATAATAGATATAAATTTTATTTTGGTTAAATTTTTTCAATTAAAATTATTTTTTTAAGAAAATAAAAAATTAAAGTGAAACATTAAAATATGTTATTATTAGCTTAATTTTTTCAAGTTTATAAAATCTATCAAAAAAAGATAATAATATAATATATTTAAAGTGAACATTTTAATATTTATTTTATGTGTAGTATAGGTACAATATATCTTGACTTAATAAAGCAACTTTATGATCCTTCCTATGTGCTATATGGATAGGGATATATTTGAAAAGATTAGATTTTACACGTCAAGAAAACAATTTATAGGTACTTCATGTTTTTATGTTTATTTAAAGGTATATAAAAATTATTAATATTTATTAAATTAATTTATATTATGCTTAACTTTTTAATTTTAAGGTCTTGAATTCAAGTTTCGAGTTTAGTTAATTTTTAATATTATTTTTATTATTTTAAAATTTAAAAATAAAAATCTAAAAGTTATGTATATAAAAATAGGATATCCCTTTATAATAGTTATAAATTTTATTTTGTTTAAATTTTTTCAATTAAAAATATTTTTTAAAAATAAATAAAAAATTAAAGTGAAAGATAAAAATATGTCATTATTACCTTAATTTTTTCAAGTTTATAAAATCTATCGATAAGAGATAATAATTTAATATATTTAAAGTGAAAATTTTAACATTTATTTTAAGTACAATTTATTCACAGCAACTTTATAATCCTTTCTATATGTTTTATTCAGTTAGCAATTATTATGTTGGCACAAAATATTCTTATAGTAAGATTACTAAATTAATTTTATCTAAATTGTTTATATTTATTTATTGTAATTATATAGACTTAAATATTTTTAGTCTCTTAAATTTAAAATAAATTTATTTTTGGTCTCTCAAATTTAAAACTATTATTTTTAGTTCTTGTAATTTTTAAAAAATTTATTTTAGTACCTTAGGTCACTAATAACATATTTGAAAGTGACTAATTAAGACGGTTATGCATTATCAACTAGATTTAATGTGATGTTTTCACTTACGAATCTTTAAGAGCTTCGCCTTCTACAGAGTTATAATATTTTTTTAATTTAATCTAAAAGTGGCTCGGGCCTAAAATAATCAGATGTCTTTTGTGGATAATTGCACATAATAGTCTTTGCATAAATGATTGAAGAAATTCACGTTTTATAACTACAGTTGCAACTTGCACACGCTGTCATGCAGGTTGTGAAACATGTTTACATGCATTAAGAGATTGCATTTTTTCAAAAAAATGTTTGGAGTGAAATAATAGCTCATAACGTGGATTAAGGGTTTTTTCTCTCTCCTTTAAATGATTGGTTATTGTCTAAACTAAATGCTTCCAATCCCATATGGTCTTAATTGTTTGTTATCACCCTAGATTCCGTTTGGAAGGTTCGTAATAATTTAATATTTTGCCAAACGGATGTGAGTCCTACTCAAGTAACTTGCAAGGTCAAAGGTCGCGTACAAGTTTTAACAAAAACATTGTACGAGCAGCCTAATGTTTCATCTCAGAATAATTCACACAAGTTAGTAATCAAATGGGTCCCACCTCTTCCCAGTATACTAAAACTTAATTGTGATGGAGCAGTTTCTAATAACTCTTTGCCTTCTTGTGGTGGTGTATTAAGAGACAGTAATGGAACCTTCATACTAGCATTTTCTAAAATGATTGGGAGTTGCTCTGTTGTACAAGCCGAGCTTTGGGCTATTTTTCATGGACTATGAATTATCAATGATAGATTCTTACATTCTCACATTATAATAAAATCTAACTCCTTTATTGTTGTTCAATTCTTGAATGATGGGTGTCCCCGAATACATCCATGTTACTCTGTTCTCAACCAGATCGTCATGATATCAGGATATTTTTTTGAATTAGATTATGTTCATGTCCTCCGAGAAGTAAATCAAATAGCTGATAGTTTTGCTAAGTTAAGATTAATTCTCCCTAAGGGAGTGCATTATTTTAACTCTCCACCAAATTGGGCGCATTTTTTATTACTAGTTGATAGGTTTGTTGTTGTTTTTTCTCATGAATTTTAGTTTATTGTTAGACTTTTAAGCCACCTTATTAATAAAAAAAATGTAATGTTTTCAGTAACAGAAACACTAATAGATAAATTTTATATAATAATATTTAATAAATTTTTAATAATATTTAAATATAAGGACAAAAAATAAATTTTTTTAAAATTAAAAAGACTAAAAATAACAATTTTAAATTTAAAAAATTAAAAAATAAATTTATCTAGATTTAAAAGATTAAAAATATATTTAAATTAATTATATATGAATAACAATGACATTATTCATAATAAATATAATAAAGCTTAAATTTAGCCTATAATATATGAGTTAAAATGATAGTTTATTATATAAAACTAAATAAATATATTATTAATAATAAATTATGATCGGACGATCGTACTTTATTATTAACCCCAATTATTAAATAGCTAACAAATTACAAACAATTTAATACGAGTTTAAAATAATTTACGGTCCACACATTAAAAAAACAGAATAACTTTTAATCATTGAGAAAAGTATGGGTCCAACTTTCTCTTTCCATATTAGAAGGGTTTGTAGTTTTGTGTGACTCCTCTCAAGGTCCAACTACTGTTGACAACAACTTCAATTTGAGTGTCCTCGGTTTCATAGGTCAAACCCAACCAGACTCGCTTGTCTCCGATTCTCTTTCCTTGTTTTCTCCGACCATCCTTAACCATTGTTTCCCTCTCCTTCTCCGGCACTCCCCACTCGCCCACCCCATTCAACTTCCTTAACCCTTCAGATTCTTCACACTCTCGACGCAGATTCCTCTGTGATGGGTTCCATCTCGCACGTGATCACCAACCCCTATCTCTCTCACCTAACCTTGAAACGCTCTTTCGGACCCCGACTCTCCCGCTCCAGTTCCCGCCTCCTCCCGCTGCCGCTGCCACCCGCCGGAGCCGCCAAGAGAGGCGGCGTGTTTGCGGTGGTTAGCAGCCCAAGCAACAGTTACGCCGGCATCGATTTCAGCGACCCTGATTGGAAAAGCAAGTTCCAGGAGGACTGGGAAGCGCGTTTCAGACTTCCTCATCTCACCGATATCTTCCCTGATGCTCCTCCTATTCCTTCCACGTTTTGTCTCAAAATGAGGTTGGTTGGTAGGTCTAGTTTCCTTTACCCTCTGAAAACTGGGGCCAGAGAAAGAAGAAAAAAAAAACTGTTTTTCAATTTTCCATATATAACTAACTATAAAGGCAATTAAACAAGGTTGCATGAGGGAACTAGACATGATACCCTTAAATAAGGCCTTTGTTGGTTTTGGTTGGGAGGGGAGACTCCTCTGAAGTGTCTTAGTTTTTCTGACAGAGATTAATCACGGATAAAATTGGGAGATAATTCGTACTATTAACGTAATTACCAAAAAAAAATAAGTTTGGCCAATGGAGGATGGTGCAGAGTATGAAATTTGTTTGAATTGGGTAGGGCCATTATAAGCCACAAAACTCCCCCACCAGATATATAATCCAATTACATGTTCAGGAATCAAACTAGAGCTTACTGATTATGTTGAAACAATTATGTTCTAGGTGTTCAGGAGATGTAGGCTGTGCCTGTATTATGGTTTTCATAATACTTGTTTTGAAAATAATTTAATAAATTTTGAATGAGAAATTGATTGTGGAATTATTTTAGAAGACAATTTGTTTTTTTTAAAAAAAGGTGAGAAGAGAATCAAACAAGCCTTTAGTCTCCATTTTTTTTTTCTCTTTAACAAAATGAAAGAAAATGCATCTTCTCTTTAACAAAATGAAAGAAAATGCATTGTTATTCCATTTTTTCCCCGTTGTATTGCCTTTCCCCGTCCAAACATACTGTTAGGGTTCTGTTGTTTGTTAATATGTTTTGTTTGTGGCAGAACTCCAATTGATAGAGACTTTCCTGGTCATTATTCTTACGATGAGGAGTGGCATGGATACATTAATAACAATGACAGAGTGCTTTTGAAGGTATGGTGGTTTTTAATTTTATTTATCTCTTGAAATCAAATTCATTGGAAGAGTTAGGTTAATCAACTACTGTTGATAATTTGGGCCTGTACCAATTAAGCTGCACTCTGGTTAACCTTTTTTTTTTTTTTCTCTGTTCATGATATGTGGGCTTTTTGCACGGCTTTCACTTAATTGTAATCTTATTAGCTCTATGCTAGTTCATGTTACCATATTACTACTACTGTTTGACTAGAACCGGTTGAGGACTTCCTTAAGTTGTGGTTCCTGATTGTTAGTTGTTTGTAAATTGTTTCCTCAACAGAGCTGTCAACTCACACTTGGACAAATTTTATTCAATTAGTGCAATTTTTTTTTTGTTCTTGCATTGATACCATTGTGTAAACAGTTGAATAGCAGTTGTTTGATGTTGATTGATGCTTTCATTCAATCATGTTTGAAAAATAGGAATTGATGCTGGATGTTAATTTTTTTGTATGCTTTGCTCTTTCAGACAATATACTATTCATCACCTACATCTGCTGGTGCTGAGTGCATTGGTCCTGATTGTACATGGGTGGAACAATGGTAAAGCATTTAATTCAGAAATTTTAAACATTAGTACACTAATTGATTAAACAGATTTCAGTCAGATAGATGAGTGTTGCAACTTGGAACGTGGGTTTGTAATGTGCGGGGGTTTTAAATGTTCAATAGGTGGCACTGAAAACTTTATCATAACAAAATGTTTCTCTGAAAGTTTCCCTAAAATTAAGAGAAAGTTTAGGGCTTTGAGAATTCAATGTCCCTTTGTAGCAGATAATAACCACGATTTTGATGGTTAAATCCATATCAATATGCCTGGTGTTTACCTTTCAATTTATTCTTAACCTGTGTTGATTTCTTGTATGTTTGTGCTAGAATTATATGCATTACTCTGTTGTTCAGTATTTCCAAATACAATTATGCCTTATATTGCGCGGTTAGCAGCTACATGAATGAATATGTTCCATTAAGCTATATGAAAATCCAAATTTTCCTTAACATCCTATATCAAGGTCTTTTATAATTATTTCTTCTATTGTTTTCAAACTAACTTAGGCTAGTTTTCATAATCTCCTAAATAGTTGTTTGTTTCTACTTTCTACATTTCTCTAAGATATATTCTTTAACCTATTTTCTTGTACTTCAAATTTTGAATCATTAACCTCAGTATTATCATTTCTTCTACAAACTTGTTTGCTTTTGTTGGCAGTTCATTGCCCAAGATTCATTACCATTAAGCGTTGCTGGCCATACAGCTATTCAATGGGTTTTTCCTTCGAGTTTGCTTCACACTTTATGGTCACAAAATTATTCCTGAAGTAGTTCTCCAATCCATTCTCCCAACTTGAATTCCATGTACAACATCCCCATCAATCTTCCCTTCACTTTGTAATTTATATCAGCAACATGTTATGATGTGATCTCCACTTTTCATCCAGAACATTGCTGACTGGAATCTTACAGAACTTGCATTTTGAATACTTTATTTTACTCCAACTTAACGTATAACCTGTTGATTCCACAACAAGGCTTACATTAGTCATTCAAAGATCTCTTATGAAGTTTATAGGAATTGTGTGTCCTTCCTCACACAAACTGATTTATTTACAATCAAGAGGAATACAATAATTAGGGGAACTAAGGTAGTAACATAAAGATAAAATCCCTAAAAATCAACCCTAGAGATAAGCTATACATTGTTACACTCTTTATAGATATCTAATTGAATCTTTTACACCGCCCTCAAGCTGGAGTGCACACACACACATATATATCATATGATCCAAGCTTATTATACATGTAGTCCACTTGAGAACCCTTGAGAGATTTTGTGAAAATGTATGCAACTTGATCGTTGGAACTAACAAAGTCGAAGGCTATGATGCACGGGCATGGTGTGGGACTGTTGTGTCCCAATGTTCGACACTTTTTCGGAGTGGACGCGCCATAGTCACAACGGAAAATTGTGTCTGCACAAATCGAACATGTCTTCATCTTGGACACCTACAAAATGGACACATCTCCACCCCGATGTGCGCGACCCAACTCTCTGACGTGTTCGGCCCAACTCTCCAATGCATGCGGCCAAACTCTTTGATGAACGGATTCGTGATTTTTTTTTAAAAAAAGGATAAAATCTCGATAAAAACATAAACAAGGTGGGGAGGATTCGAGATTTTTTCTAAAAAAAAGAAGAAAAATCTTGATACAAACATAAACAAGAAAGGGAATCGTTCTTGTCTTTCCCTACTTAACCTTTACGTAACAGAACCAGAGTTGTAGAATTGAAACTAACTGAAATATTTTTTGTTGTGGACTATGAAGCCTCTTAGTAATTCGATTTTAAGACTTAGTAATTTATAGTCATATCAATATATAATTTTTTTGTCATGTTATTCATATTATATCTTATATATATGTCGTGTCCATGTGTCCTATGTTTTTTGATTTTGCCGTATCCCCATGTCCATATTCGTATTGTGTCCCCATGTTGTGTCCAAATCTGTGCTACAGAGGTCGGTGGAAAATTCTCTCGAGTGCACCTTTTCTCTCACAAAATGGCAATCTCTTTATATGTTTCGTTTGCTTGTGGAAGACCCAAGTGAATGCAATATGAAGGTAGCGTGGTTGTCACATATTAGTTTAGCATCCTAAGTATCTCCAAATTGTAATTGTTGAATAAGTTGCTTAAGCCATGTAATTTTTTGGAAGCAATTGTTGCCATAGAACAGTACTTAGCTTCAACACTAGATTAAGCAATAGTATTTTGTTTCTGACTTCTCTATGAGATCAAATTTCCTCCAATAAGAAAACAATAGCCAAAAGTGGACCTCTTTTTTGAGGGTGATCCTGCCTAATCAGCATCAAAGTAACAAACAATCTTGGCATTGCCTTTGTCTTCATATAGTATGTGTTAAGGTCCAATTGCAAGGAATGGGACTTGAGTTCCACATTGGAAGTATGGGGTTTGTGTGGGGTTTATATGGCTTTGAGCTCTCTAACCACGATAGCTAGCTTTTGTGGTGTGATTATTGGTAGGTTCTTCTCAATTGGTATCATAGCCTTCCACCATGTCTCCCAACTGCAAATGAGTAGTGTGGGTGGTGATGCACACATTGTAGTGTTCACCCAAAACTAGTCTAGGAACTAGTGAATAGCCAAGCCTGTGTAGGCTCTAGGGTTGTAGAGCATGGTGGGATGTTAGGATCCAATTGCGAGGTATGGGACTTGAGTCCCACATTGGAAGTATAGGACTCTAATGTGGGGTTTATAAGGCCATGAGCTCTACAACTACAATAGCTAGCTTTTGTGGTGTAGTTCTCCTAAGGTTCTTATTAGTATGCCATGACTTGGTGCATTCTTGATGTAATGAAGAATGTGCATGACAACATCGAATGACTATCACAAGGAGCATTAAGGAATTGGCTTACCCACACTAACTGCAAATGTGATGTATGACCTAGTGACAGTGAGATAATTGATTTTTTCAACAGTTCATCAATATCTTCCTAGGTTTTCAAATGGCTCCCCTTGATCTATTAGAAGTTTGACATTGGGACCCATAGAGTGTCACTAGGGTAGCAATCAAGCATGTCGATCTTTGTAGGTATATCTAGAGCATACTTACTTTGTTAAATGAAAATGCTAGAAGAGGATTGAGAAACGTCAATGCCCAAGAAATATTCAAGTGGTCCCAATTCTTCTATTTGAAATTGACCGTTGATGAGATTTGAGTCAATGAATATAATCAGAGTCGTCACCATCAATGATAATATCATCAACATAAACAAGATAAATACATAGGTTGGATGAAGAACAAAGAGAAACATAGAATGATCAACCTCACAGTCAGTGATATTGAATTGAAGCAAGGTAGAACTAAAACAAACAAATAAGGCACGAGGAGATTGCCTTGGACCATATAGAGAGTGGCAAATATGACAAAAAGCAAGGGTTACCCGAGGCAATAAATCTCGGAGCTTGAGTCATATTCCCTTCTTGTAACTACCCATGTAAAAAGGCATTTTTTTATGTCCAATTGGTGATGGACCAACAACAAATAACAGCCATAGCAAGAAACAAAAAGAATTGAAGTGATTTTGGTCACAAGGGAAAAAGTTTCCCCATAATCAAGACCAAAGATTTGAGTGTAGTCTTTAGCTACTAAGTGAGCTTTGGATCCGTCAATCTATCAATCAAGCCAACCTTCACCATATACACTCAACAACAACCAACTGTATTCTTATTTGGATGCAAGGGAACAAGTTCCCAAGTATCACCAGCTTGTAAAGTAGCCATTTATTCTAGCATTCCTTGTTGCCAACAGGGATTAGCCATGGCTTCACTAGTAGACTTAGGGATAGACACAGAACCCAAGGAGGATATAAAAGAGAAATTGGAAGGGGATAAATGGTCATAATGAAGAGTACAAGGATACAATGGGACATTCAGGTGGAGTTGGCGATGACGGAGGGGTGTTTGGAGTAAATGATGTTGGGGGATCAGTGGGTAGAGTCGCCAAGGGAAGTTGTGGTCGTCGTTGATAGGTGATTAGTGATGGTGGAGCAGCAACAACAAGAGTTGGGGTAATGGGTGAAACATATAGAGAGGAATCATGGACAATGGTCTCAAATAAAAATGAAGTAGACTCAAAGAAGGTGACATCAACAAAAACAAGATATCTTTACCTGGAGTGAGAACAACAATACCCTTTTTGGGGGCAAGAGTAACTGAGAAAATTTTTTTTTAGAGTTTTGGCAGAGTTTATCTTTACCTAGAGCTAGATGATGGACAAAACAGGTATTGTCATAGACATGAAGGGGAATAGGGTATAGGTCTTGTTTTGGATACCATATCGAAATTGTGTCCTTCCTCACACACTGATTTATTTATAGTCAAGAGGATACAATGATTAGGGAAACTATGGAAATAACATAAAGATAAAATCCTTAAAAATTAGCCTTATTGATAAGCTATACATTGTTACTCTATTTACATATATCTAATCATATCTTTTACAAAGTTGTTATTGGCAAAAGGTTGTCTAATCCTATTATTAATGTAAAAAACTGTGGTTCTTATATAGTCAAGAGAATACAATAATTAGGGAACTAGGGGGATAACAGAAAGATAAAATCCCTAAAATTTAGTCCTAAAGATAAGCTAAACATAGTTACTTTATTTACAGATATCTAATCGTATCTTTTTCTAAGTTGTTATTGGAAAGGTTGCCTAATCCTATTATTAATGTAAAATACTATGTGGTCCTTCTTTTACATGATAACAGGAAATACTGAGATATGACTGCTTCAAAGATGCATTTATCTTGTTATAGTTTTTAATGTTGGCAAAGAGAAAATTGATAAATGATACAAATTTGTTATGACACCAGTTTATTAACAATCAAATAAAGGTTCGAAAATGTTCAAAATTTGTTGGACATTAGGACGTGAAAATCACAATCCCTTCAATACTTCTCTAATAACAATAATTACTTTTTTTTTTTATTTTGGATGTTCAAATAGTTGTTTTACTTCTAGTTTCCGGTTTCAATAATTTAGTATATCCTCGTGTTGTATACAGTGTTGTTTTTCTACTATTAGCATATATTCTATAAGTGGTTCTGAAAACTTTTTAGGGTTCATCGAGCTGGGCCTCGGGAAAAGATATACTATAAACCAGAAGAAGTAAAGGCAGCAATTGTTACTTGTGGAGGGCTCTGCCCTGGTCTTAATGATGTCATCAGACAGGTTAGTTTGTGATCACATTGTTTTTTTACATAGTTTTACCTTTTCTTCTGAATATGGTAAACCTGGATGGTGCTCTGGAACTTAAGATAGTGAAAAGTTTTTTGATAAATTTAACATTTTTATTTGTGATCCTGACTTTATATTACTATTAATCATCACTAAATTTTCTGGGCAATAAAATACTCGTTGCCTAAGCTATTGACAAGTTCACCTGAAATATATTTTTTGCTTTCATCGAAGTGTAACTGTCTTGAATATGTTATTAGTTTTCCCCCTCTATTGCATTTATGTACAAAATTTCAAAAAGTTTTATATCATATATTTTAAAGATGCTCCTAGTTCAACTCCCTTTTAAACTTGGTTCTAGTTATTTTGGTCACTATATTGTTTTTCAGTGTAATGACTTGAAGAATGAATTTCCTGCAGATTGTTATCACCCTTGAAATATATGGTGTAAAAAACATCGTGGGAATTCCTTTTGGTTATCGAGGATTTTCGGACAAAGAGTTGACAGAAGTGCTGGTAATCTTATTTTCCCCTACTTGCTGATTTTGGTTTAACAATTGATTCATTTAAAGGTACAATCTGTAGAAAATGAGTTCTTCCTAATGACTCTCAAATTTATTGGTTTTCCACTTACAGTTGTCAAGAAAAGTGGTGCAGAATATTCATCTTTCTGGTGGAAGCCTATTGGGAGTTTCACGGGGAGCACCTGGAGTCAGTGATATTGTGGACAGTCTGGAGGTGTTTGATTGACCTTTTTATTTACACACTGATTGATGATTTCACAGACAAGTTTTAGGTTTTTTATGATACAATACAGGTGGTAATTTGTGAGACAGATATTCCCCAATATGTATATTATTGATTTCAGGAAAGAGGGATCAACATGCTTTTTGTATTGGGTGGAAATGGTACACATGCTGGTGCCAATGCAATTCACCATGAGGTTGTCAATCCTTTAACGTTTTATCGCTTGATTGCATTCAATTTGGGTTATTTTTGTGTTCTAGATTGAGTTCCTTATGCAGAAACTTTTCATGGAAAACCATGGAAAGTCATTTTTCAAACTGACTTGATTTGCTGTGCCTTTTTTGTTTTTGTATAGTTCAGTGTTGACATTAAACTGGACATCAAAATTCTGTTATTTGAAATGTGATTTATGTGTCATATTGTAGGCTGTTCAGCAATTTTTAGATGGTGTTTTAATTTTTAGGCTTGTCATCCTAATTTGTTGCTGTCTTTTATGGACTGAGATTTTCTGTTTCTTGTAGTGCCGCAAAAGACGGATGAAGGTATCTGTAATTGGTGTGCCCAAAACTATAGACAATGATATTTTATTGATGGACAAAACTTTTGGTTTTGATACTGCTGTTGAAGAAGCGCAAAGAGCAATAAATTCTGCATATATCGAGGTATGTTACCTCTTATTCTGAGTCATGTTGACTCAGTTCATTGATATTTCTTGTCAGTACATATTAAAATAATTACATAGATTCCTTTATCTCTTATTAGGCACATAGTGCATACCATGGAATTGGGGTTGTGAAGTTGATGGGCCGTAGCAGTGGATTCATAGCAATGCATGCATCCCTGTCTAGTGGACAGGTCGACATATGCCTCATTCCGGAGGTATATATGCTAAAAATTAGTTGGATGGTCTTGTTTTCTGTCATACTGATAAGCTTATATAAGTTTTGACATGGTTCCAAGGTAGCTTTCAATTTACATGGACCTCATGGAGTATTGAGTCATCTCAAGTACCTTTTAGAAACGAAGGGATCAGCTGTAATTTGCGTGGCAGAGGGAGCTGGACAGGTGATTTAGTTCTCATATAATCAATGTCATTACCAAATAACGGAGTTTTACATTTAGACATAGAAACTTAAACTAGCTAACTGATTCTTATGCAGAATTTACTCCAAAAGACTAATGCTACAGATGCATCAGGAAATATTGTATTCGGTGATATTGGAGTATATATTCAACAAGAGGTTTGTATTATGTTTATGGGGCATACAATAATCTTAATGGGTTGATACCTGATGATAGAAAGAATGTATATTTTTAATTTGTTATACCTAGTAAATCTCAAAACAATATGGAGAAAGAACATAATAGAATTGTGTGAGAGAGAGAGAAACTGGAAAAGAGAAGATGAGAGAATATTTCAATAAGCAAAATATGTTTTCACTAACAGCACAAAGAATACAAGATAGGTTTATATAGAGCCAACCTATGTTGGCCTATAATAAAAGCAATAAATGTGACAGTAAAGAAGGAGATCACAAAATGATCTACGTTACTATTGTACTTAGTACATATAAGTAAGGAGTAAAACTATACTCCAATAGAACATCTAAACTGTCTAGAACTACTATCAAATTAATTTAACAGTATCTCAGTGTGTATAGAATATCTAACTTTTAATTTCTTCAGACTTTAGCAATGTGTATTTTAAACTACCAAGCTATGATTTTGTGATTTTGGTCTCTTGCTACATCAAAACTAAACATTATTTTGTGAATATTGTTATTCAATTTGAAGCACATCTTCATTCAATAAGGAATGATATCCTTGAAATTGAGGATTATGCTATTTGTAAAGGGCGGGAGGTTTTGGGTGACTTGAAAATAGAACTTTCCACATTTTAAGTCAACAATTATATAACTCCTACGCAAGTAGCATTGTCACAACATAATATCTTTCCAATTCTATATGAAGTTGGTAGCTGTTTAAGAGTTGTTATTTCTGAGAAGTTAGCTCTTTGCCCTTGAGCACAATAATTTTTGGGAAAGGGAAAATTTCCTTTAAAACACTTCTTGTTGTCAAAGCTTTAGATGCGGTGACATGACATAAAAGAACTTATGGTAATGCTATTTTTCTTTTTCCTATATCCTGTCAGCTATGCGTTGGCCAAAATAGAAAGCTTGTTCAACAGTTCGTTTTGAAATGAGCGAGACAAAGTACTTTGAATATTTCAATATTTTAACTTTTGATAGTGTTCTCGAAAAATTTATGATATTGAGCTTCTTTACTACCTATTATTTCTATTAAAAATAAGTGAATTCAACTGCAATTTTTAGGTCTAATGTCTACTGTTAGTATGGTTTCTGGTGCGTATCGTGCTATTTTATTTCTATCAAGGTGAAACTAATGTTTTCAATTCTTTTGTAATGGAGATTGCTACCTTCATTTAAAATTATTATTTTACTACATATTTTATGCTGACGACTGTTATATTTCAGACAAAAAAATATTTCAAGGAGATTGGTGTTCATGCTGATGTGAAATACATTGATCCAACGTATATGATCCGTGCAATTCGAGCAAATGCATCTGATGGAATTCTATGCACTGTACTTGGACAAAATGCTGTTAGTCATTTTCTCTGTCTGCCTTTTTATTTTTATCGTTGCAATGACAGCAGGGTTTGAACATATGATCTTCTGCAAGCTATCTAAATCTCTTGCTGCTAGCCAACTTTTAGCGGCTTCTCTCATTCCCTGTTAGTGCATATTTAAATTGTCAATTTATTAGTTTGTCAGATTTTTATTTTCATCACCATTTTACTGCTAACACTTTCCAGGTCAAGCAGTTATAGGTTATGTTATACTTCACTCACTAAGTTAAATGTTCAGAATTTAAACATCAATCTATGGTCCTATTTGGTTTACTTTGTTTCAGAGAAAGAAATAAAAACATGCAAATATTACTCAAACTTCAGTGTCTCCAGGCCTACAAAATGTGGAAAATATGCTTCAATTTAAGATGTCTACTGAGGACTAATCACTGTGTTTCAGAGGTCATGCTAGTGAAACAAGAGAACCTTATGTTAGCTGAATTTGCGCTTTAATTTTTTGTTCTATTTATTAGCAAGTAAATTGGTATGTTTTATATCTTCATCTTAGTATCCTTACTGACCTTCTGGTACAAAAGTGTCAAAAACCTTTAGGGAAGTGGTGCTTTTGTTTGATTTGTCCTTTCTTTGTAAGTTATTTAGTTTGACAGTTAAATTACCAGTTTCCAGATAAACTTAATTCCGCACTCTTTCATCCCAATGCCAACTTCGTTCATTTGATGCTTTCTGTAGTTTGTGAATATTGGATAAACATAGGACAATTGAATCATAAATACAATTCCTCGTGTCCAATACTTGTATGTATATCTTAAATGATATCTGTTACTTTATATTTGATACTGATGTACAGCTTTTGCACTGCAGGTTCATGGTGCATTTGCAGGATATAGCGGCATTACAGTAGGCTTATGTAACACCCACTATGCTTACTTTCCAATCCCTGAAGTCATATCTCATCCCAGGTTGGTGGATCCAAACAGTCGAATGTGGCATCGTTGCTTAACTTCAACAGGTCAACCTGACTTCGACTGATAATTTACCCTTTTTTCCAATAAGTTCAAGAAGCTTGGAAATTCAGGCTTCCAAAGAGCATGTGAAAATGTCCGGTCAATTTGTTGAACAGGCGTATGTGAAAATAATACCAAGGATGGCCTTTCCTCCTTATTAAAAAAATTGGTTATTTGTATAGCATGGCAGTTTCATGTCCTGCCAATTGCATTTAAATTAAATTTTAGAGGAATCTCCAAGCACTTTGTGCTTGATTTTGATCGATTTATAAGTTGTAACCTTATTTAACTGATCTTAGGGGCCAAATAGCCCAAATTTAAAGAGAGTACTTTGGCTATAAGCTGTTGTTTGAAATTCACGCCTTCAGTATTGGATTGCATGTTCATAATTGCAGCCCTTAAGATGAATTTGTGGCTGAATTGTGCAAGGTTCTGTAAGCCTATTGTATATATAGGATACACAACATGCCACGTGATGTAACTAACTCACGTGTCCTATATAAATGATACATGATTGAAGGGAGAAGTTACTAAGGTATTACAACAGACACATACTATATGGTCTACATTCATGCTAGTCAAACATTGCACACTAGACGTTCCATCAGACACAACCTTTCCTCATATAGAACTTCTACTTGACTCGCTCACAAACCATCGATGATTCACCAATTTGAAGATTCTAAATAAATACCAACAATCTCCACCTTGACTCTGAATCAAGGGTATCATACTTCCACAATTTTCAAAGCTACCTCCTTCTGATCGACCTCCACTAGCTCTTTTAGACAAAGTTCACCAAGTTTAAGCACCTCTCAAACATACTTCTTGGTAAAGACTTTGTAAACATATCAAAAGGATTATCATCTGAAGTAATCTTCACAACCCTCACTACTCTTGTTTCAACTACATCTCTTATGAAATGAAGCTTCACATCAATATGTTTGGTCCTTTCATGGTACATTTGATGATTAACTAGATGAATAACACTCTAGCTATCACAATGGATTTGGATGCACTCAATTCCTAACTCACCTAGCAATTCCCTTCAGCCACGGGCCGTCCTTCACTCCTTCTACCAACGCAATATACTCAACTTCTATAGTAGATAATGTTACTACTGGCTGAAGATTTGACTTCCAACTCACAACAAATCCGAACAATGTAAACACATACCAAACAGGGACTTCATTGTGTCCATATTTCCTACATAGTCAACATTCACAAATCCTTCAATTGAAGCTCTACCTTAAGATCTCTTTTGATATAGAAGTCCTAAACCTAAAGTTTTATTCAGGTATCTTAGCATCCATTTTAACACCTCCCAATGAGTTTGTCCAAGATTCCCCATGAACCCACTAATATCATTTCAACATGAGCCAAATCTAATCTTGTATAGAACATCCCATACATGATGCTTCCAACTCCACTTGCATATGGAATTGTATCCATTCTTCTCCTCTCTTCCTCAAAATCAAGAGCTTAACTTGTTGAGAGCTCTGTGTGGTGCCCCAAAGGTTTACCCACAGGTTTAGGTTATGCATCCTAAACCTTTCCACAAACTTCTTTAGGTAGCCTTGTTGAGACAAACGCATAACATTGTTCGTTTGATCCCTCTCTATATCTATCCAAAGAATGCATCTAGCAAAACTAAGATCTTTCATCTCAAATTCCGAGCTTAGCTTCATCTTAAGCTCGTCGATCGTCTGCTTATGTTGGCTAGCTACCATGACATTGTCTACATATAGGAGCAAATACAATTGATCTTCTCCTTCACGCACAGTGTAGATGCAACTATCATAACTACACCTCTTGAGTCCCATCCTTATAAAAAAATTCATTAAACTTCGGCACAAGTTAATTTGTATAATTTATTTATTAATTTTTTCAAAATTTTACTTTTAGTTTAGTCATCATATCCTTTCTTGTAGAAGTGCATTGATAAATTTTCCCAAAAATATATATTTACACTTATATATATAAATGATTCTTTATTTTTGTGTACATAATTTTTTTAGAATGTTTTGTTTTTAAATTTTAAAATAATAAAAAAATATATATTAAAAATTAATTATTTTTACAATCTAAAAATTTTGAAATTTGAGAACTTAAGTGTAATAATATTAAATAATTCTTATATTCATTATCTGCATGTCTTATATTCATTCTTCATGTAGTTTTGTGAAATTTGGATATTTGGATCCTCTCTAGTAATATTTTCTCTCTAGTCTCTCTCCAGCAACATTAATAACTATTGGATATATCTAATGGCTCAAATTTAATCTTATAAAAATTATTTAAGAAGTTACATTAATTATAAGATTAAATTTCAACTATTAGATATATCTAATAGTTGAAATTTAATCTTATAAAAATTATTTAAGAAGTTACATTAATTATAAGATTAAATTTCAACTATTAGATATATCTAATGGTTATTAATGTTGATAGATAGAGGTTGGAGACAGAATATTACATGAGAATCCAAATTCAATTTTGTGTGCTACTGATCTTCATTTCTTCACACTTCCCCACACTTGCAAGGGGAAGTTTTTGTATGTGAGGCTCACTTTTATTTCTGTATAATTTCTTCCACTTCTCTCTTCTCAATCAACACTAATATTTTTAACGTCTCATTCCTTATATATTTCTTTTTCTTCTTCTCTATTTATTTATTTATTACCAAACACACAAGAGTAAAATATAAGAAGAAAAGATAATTAAATTTTTTCTTAAAATAAAATTAATTGATGTATAAATTAATTTTAAAAAATCCATATTATTGCTTAAAAAATTATTTTTAATTTATTCATAAGGTGGTTTTGACTTATTAAAAAAATTATTTTATATTTTTTCTAAACGTTTTTCCTTTAAAATATCTTAGAAAAAATTATCGAAACAAGTATAGTTTACTATTATTTTTAATATTATCTACACCTAAACTGTACCTCTAATGGTCCTTGGCTGTCAAAATTATCTTTCCATTTTTTGTAATTAAAAACCAAGTTAAGTGACACCAATCTTCATTTAAAAAAGGAAAAGGGAACTTCATAATCTGGCGTGTGGAATTACCCAAACGTAAAGAATTTTATGAATTAGCTAAAAGGGGAAAAATGATCTACCTAGGTAATAAAGACTAAGGATTAACATAATACCAATTAAATTTGAATTTTTGAACTAAATAACAGTAACACCCATCTTTTATATTATTGATATAACCCTTATCTTAAAACTAAACAAAAACACTCACGGGACAAAAGACACCTAAACAAAAACTCTTACTTATGAAACCTTTCGAAATATTTTGTTCTTCGTCATTATCTTCGCACTTAAAAATCCTTAAGTAACTTGCGCACCTGTTCCAACGTGACGAACAGGACAACCGTGAAGGGTCCCTGTCTCGAAATCGTGGGAACAAAGCCTTTGTAAAGAGCCATGGGACCCTCCGCGCGCACCGTCTTCATGGCGCAATCGAGTGCACCGGAGTACGGCGGCGCCGCCCCGGGCTCCACCTTCATGTTCATCACCCTAGTCTTGATCACGTCGACGGGGTTCGACGTGACCGCCGCCACAAACCCCGCCGCGAAACTTGCCGTCACATGGGTCCCAAGCCCGTCACCCATTACACCCCTTTCCAAAATCATCTCCTTGAACTGGTCATAAGAGGCCAGCTGCGAGGCCGTCACCAGCATGGCGCGGTTTATCGTGAGAGATGAACCGCGCCATAAACTGGTCACGCCCTCGTCTTTCACCATTCTGGTGATAGCATCAACGACGGATTTATAATTCCGTCGTTGGGCCGGTGGGAGTCTTCCATCGGCCTGCATGCGGACCATTGACACGTCGGCCGGGTTGCCGACGGCGGCGCCAATTCCGCCGGCCATGAGTCCTGCCGCGATCTTGCGGGTGAGGGGCATGGTGGTGCCGCCGGCGGAATTGGGTTCGGACCATTTCTCCTTGAGCACTTCGTAGAGCCCCATGCGGGTGGTGGAGTAGAGAAGCTGGCGGAGGATGGTGGCGGAGACGCCGGAGAAAAGCGCGGCGACGCCTTCTTGTTGGACTAATTTGACGCCGACGGCGATGGGACCTGCTTTTGCCGGACGATGCGGCGGCGCGTGGACGGAAGTTGGGTGGAAAGCGAGTGCGGGTCGGAGATTTGAGTGTTGGGTCTCTCCTTGGAGCTGCATTCGGACCTTGATTAGATCAAGAGGGTGGGTGGAGCACCCTGCGATCACGGAAGCAATGCCTCCTTCGACGAAACCTTTGACACCCATTTCGATTCAAGCCAAAAAGTTTGTTATTTTGAAAGAATCAATGAAATTGAAGAGGTGGGGTGTGGTTGATTTTGTCAGAATTTTCCGGGGAGAAATTTTGATGAGAGAAAAGAATGGAATGTAATTAAAGGGTTTGGTTTGGGTTCAAGAGGACCAATTGGAGTTTGGGTTCATTTCACTGGAGACAAGAAGATGGGAATGGAGGCCGAAGGCTATGGAACAAGAGTGAGGAACGTTGGACCATTGAGACATATGCTAAGAAAAAGCGCTATGTTTGGTCATGAAACAAAGAATAATGATTTATGTTGCTGAATTGGAGAAGGAAATTTATAGGTGTGTTTTGAAAGGAAGAAAGAAGGGTGGTGGAAGCTAGCACTCGACGCAGCAAAACCTGAAAATAAAATAATGTCAATTAATAAACGCGGTTGTGCGGGCCCTCCACATTTTTCGATATATTCTGGACTGTTTTTTTCACATGCTTATAATAGAGAGTGCGTGACGAATTTCCCATGTTTCTATTATTTGAAGTTTTGAACAATATTTAGAAAGTGTTAAAAAATTGGGAGTTCACATTAGTTTAGCCGCATTGTTGTCGATATTGCAAGTATATTTTTAGTTTTGAATTGTCCCTTGTTGTCCAAACATGAAGGAGAAGAAAAGTAGGGATTCTTTGACTTGCGTCTGGCAAGAGTGGAGACTTGGGCGTTGCAAATTGCAATGATGGATTTGACCTTGTATTTATGAGGAGTCTGAATCGGTGACTTCGGCGTTGGCTTCTCACACGTTCTCTCGTTTGAATCAGCCGCGCATCAGTCAAGTTGAAGGCTCAACGGTGTTGTTTATTTGACAAGCAGGGTGCTTGTTGGATTGAAAACATATTTTTTTTGTAAAATTATAAATAAATTAAATAAGGTTATTCTAAAATATTTATTAAAGTTGAATTAATTATTTCTTTTTGAAATCAAATATAAGTAAAAATTAATTAATTTGTACAGGTTAACTAATATTATTATGAATAAATTTTTACATCTTTAATGTTAATTAATTATGATAATAAAATTTTCATATTAATTATAATAAGAAGAATAAGTACATTGATTTAAAATGAAATTTACTATTACATGTCTTAAGTAGGGAAAAGGAAAATTTAGAATTTGGCTTAGTAGTAAAAGATTATAATAGTGTGTCAAAAATCTTGCTATCGTGATTACATATATATAAAAAAAATTATTAAGTCAGATGAAGTAATTCCCAGCAAAATTTTGAATGAGACAAATATAATACATATTGTTATTTTTAACAAGTGTGTTAGTGTTTCAGAAAAACATAAGTACAAGCAAGTTGAAGAACAGACGACACGTGCTACCTCTTGTACTGGAACCAAGATAAAGGAAAGAAAGCTTCAAGTATTAGACGAAAAGGTCAAACGAAGCCAAGTCCAGCACAAGAAGAAAAATGATCAAGCTCCAAACAAAGCACATTCATGAACGAGAAGAATTCCATATAAACCACAGACAAAAAGTTCTTCGAGCACCAGACAAAAATTAGTCAAGGCAAAGCACATCACGAGGATCAGACTAAATAAAGTCAAATGATAGATGAAATACGAAATGAGAAATGAATCAAATACCAGACGTAGGTGTGTCAAGCACAACCTAGAGCCCAACATAAGGACTCAAACGAAGGTTGGTCAAGAATCAGATAAAAGTCAACTACATATCAGACAAAGGACAACATAGACTGAAAAGCATTCCAGACGAAAACAAAGTCTATCCATCTACAATGTTGACCAGACCAAAGAAAGTCAAAGCATTAATGAATGCTCAGACGAAGATCAAGTCTTGAGATGCACATGGACTACCAAACGCAGACGAAGACTACCATGCAAGCATTTGAAGAATCAAGTCTCAAGGGACAATCCAGGCATCGTCTACAATCATACAAAAGCTCTCAATATGATCGTGCGATGAAAGGAAGAAAAGCAAGCGCAAAAGTAAAAGCATGCATGTGTCAGAAAAAGTAAATTACTTTTTCAGATATAGACAACGTCTCTACAGCTACGATGACCGAAAAAGGACAAAAAGTTCTTAGGTCTCAGTTAAAGTCCGACACTTCAGCTAACAAAACCTAGAAGACTTCATGCAATGTCTATAAACATGAAGCAACATTTAATGCAAGATCTAATGCATTAAATGAAAGATCGAACTAGTCACGAACGACTACATCTTACTTCAACGGACACTTGCAACGGGCAAATTTTACATAGACTATATATATGTCATGACTTCAAACCTGGAAAGGCTTGGCGAAGAGAGTGATTTCAAGTCCAAGAAGCACCAAAACCAGAGATAGAGCATACATAGTCAAATGTACAATGTTGTATTGTATTTATCTCTGTAGACTAAGGAGTCCTAAGTGTAACTTAGGAACATGCACCTTAGTGAGTGTAGTAAATCTTTGTATCCTCTCTGTGAGAGTAAACCACACACTCAAAAGCAAACTATCTATCATTTGTAAAGCCTAAAGAGGCTAGGGAAAGAATACTTGTA